ATAGCAGAGACAAGTAACAAGTCCCCCAAATTTTTTTTTAAAAACCACTCAATGCTACCCAATCTTCTCCTCAAACAAAGAAGATAAAATATGATAGCTGCTTGTCATTTGGATTCACAAGTGCCAGAAATGAAGGTTGGCCTGAAGCACAGTAATTTGCAATATCACTTGTATCACTCAGCCTTGTTACAATGCAGCGGCCCATCCCATGTGTTCCCTATTAAGGGTTAATAATATATAGGTGTGTATATAAAAATTACCCCTTTCATTCTCAGAGATCTTTGACAGAAGCTCAAGGAAGCAAGGTGAATGGTTAGAGTTAGGACGTTGGCAGTTGGGCTTATCCTCTCATCGCCATTGGAGGCAACTAAAATTTACAATTGGGGAATCACTAATAAAACCACGTGCAAAAGAAATAGTGTCTTGGATTTTAAGTGAGACGTTGAGTAAAAAAATTGAAGCTGTGCCACTTTCCAACAACACAGTTTTGTGCATATTCATGATCTTGCTGATGACATCCATGCTGAACTATTTTCTCGGCTGCATCAATGTGATGGCTACGCAGTGAAATTAGACGAGTCCACGGATGTTGCAGGACTTTCAATTTTGTTGGTTTTTGTTAGATATAATTTTGACAAACAGATTGAAGAAGACTTGCTTCTGTGTGAAACTTTGAAAACTCATACCACTGACAACATCTTACTGTATGCAGAAGTTCATGAAAACACACAGTATAAATTGGGACAAATGTGTAGATGTGTGCAGTGACTGTGCCAAAGCAATGGTTGGGAAAGTGGCAGGCGCTATGACATGAATAAGAAATGTAGCAAAAAACAGCACCAGTTCTCACTGTGTTCTTCACACACTTTCAATCTCACTTAAAACTGTGCTAGACGAAATCGGTCCAGATTATTAATTTTTTTAAAAGTCGACCATTACAGTCACGACTATTTAACATTATATGTGTAGATATGGGTAGTCACCACTCTTCTCTGCTTTTGCATTCAGAAGTCCATTGACTATCACGAGGTAAGGTCCTTGTTAGAATGTAAGAATAGCGTCAAGAGTTGTTTGCATATTTCCAGGATCATAATTTTGGATTATCTGATCGATTAAAGGACCACTATAGGCACCCAGACCACTTCAGCTCAATGAAGTGGTCTGGGTGCCAGGTCCCCCAGGTTTAACCCTGCAGCTGTAAACATAGCAGTTTCAGAGAAACTGCTATGCTTACATTGCAGGGTTAATCCAGCCTCTAGTGGCTGTCTTCCTGACAGCTGCTAGAGGTGCTTCCCCGACACTCAATGCAAAAATCGCATTGAGCATACAGAACGTCCTTGGAAAGAAAGAAATGCTTTCCTATGGGTGTTTTTAATGCGCATTCAGGTCCACTCGGTAGCTGACGTCGCAAGGGGAGGAGAGGTCACCAGCGCCGAGGGAGCCCGGCGCTGGCTTAAGGTAAGTAGCTGAATGGGGGCCCTGAGGGTTGGGGGGACCTAAGGATTATATAGTGTCAGAAAAACAACTTTGTTTTCCTGACACTATAGTGGTCCTTTAACAAACACACTGTGGTTATCCAAAATAGAATATCTTGCAAACATATTGACAAAATTAAATGACGTATGTTTATCTTTTCAAGGAAAAACACTAGTATTTTTAATGCAAGAGATAAAATATTTTCACTTTCTCATAAGCTGCAGTTTTGGACCTCATCTGTTGAACAAAATAATTTGAACTCTTTGCCAACACTTAAGGATTTTCTTGAAGAACCAGAAATTTAACTTGAAGATGAAATTCGCAATGAAATTGTAGATCATCTTCGCCATTTAATCACATCTATTAATCAATTCTTGAAGTAAAACAATAATGACTGGGTTCGAAATCCATTCATAAAAGACAAGCCAGACAATTATTCTGATGTAGATTTTGAGTATCTGATCGATATAACTTCTGACAGTCAACTAAGCCAAAAATTTAAATAAGTTTCTCTCGTTGCTTTTTGGGGTGATTTACGCAAAGAATACCCAGAATTGTCCAAGCGGGCAATCAAAGCTCTGTTCCCATTTGCCAGCACATACTTATGTGAAACTGGATTCTCGCTTTACTCAGCAACAAAAACAAAGTATCGAAATCGACTTGACAACTGCAGACATGCGAATACAATTGTCAACAATTAAACCAGATATAAAAAGAATTTGCCAGCAAAAAAGAACATTACACTCTGCTCACTGAAAGGTTTGTGCTGCACTACTCTACGGCACACATTTTTTGGGGGGGGTTCCAAAGTTTTGCTATACCATGTCAAAGGGTTCCAAGGGAAAAATTAATTGGGAAACCCTGCTATAAGGCAACTCACGTAGTGTGGGAGCTCTATCGTGTCTACTGTGAATGACAACGTTTTCTGTGTAGACTGTGATTGTTGTATAGCTTTCTTGACAATGGACATATCCTGGTGGAGATCGAGGATATCTTCCTATGTGGCCTTTAACCAGTTCATCACCTCCTACAAATCTGCTTTAATTAACCCAAGATCTGCCTGAAATAATTTCTGTATATCTGTTAGTAAGGTTCAATATACTGCTTTGTAGTCGCTGCTGTGGACCGTGGTAGAACTGCTATTTTTGGTGAAGTTTGGCATAGGGTGATCCTCTGAGGATCCTGAGCAGAGTAGGCCTTGCGCGCCTCCATATCCGCTATTTTGACAAATGAATGGCATTGAAATAGTGTACCAATACCTTGGTTGTCAGCCTTGGTACTTGTGTGTGGCTTTTAGCGACCCAACCCTGCATCTGGTATTATAGTGCTAACAGGGACTGCAGGCAGCAATTATTTCCCTCCACAGTGTGCTCATCTAGCAGGACACACGTCTCCTCTAACTGGAAGATGAGGAAGGCCCAGACCTACAACGCTGCTTTTGTGAGCCTGGGAATAAAGGAACGGCATTGGGTCGGAGTTGGGAATATTAGATGCAAATTGTTGGTCGAGTAAATACAGCCTAGAGCTATTTGGCCATGTAATTAATCTGAATTAGCTGAAAATTGCATGATCTGCTCAGTATGGAGTGTTGTTGGCATGGATGCTAAAATCCACCCCCAGCTATTTTTTTCATCTTAGAGACTACCGATCCACTAGTAGTTAAGGCATTCTTCCTGCACTGCCAATACATGGCAGGAAGGAAGGAGTTAGAAAGGACTCTAGCTATGATTGCACTTCATTCACATCTCTACCTGGCAGTTGTATAATAAATGGTTTGACGCTTACATACAGAGCTAAACTATTGAGTTGAATGACTCTGTATGAGATTTTGTTCGGTTATTCTAGATTCCCGACCTAAGCTTGTCCTGATTACTCTGTTAGCTGCGTGTACTGACTGTAAGCTTGTATTGGCTTGTTATACCGAGTACTCTGAATTCTGGATCCTCTGAACTTAGCTTGTTCCCATTTCCGTTAATTATAGCTATTATTAAGTGGCTACACCAAACAACCCAAAATACTACATTTACAATACACTGGGTTACCTACTTTTTAAAATGTCTTTATTTTTGTTCTTAGGGTGGCATACTGCCTCAAAGAGACATTAGACCCAGAAATTCAATCTGTCACATTCAAAGTCTGAAAAGGGCATCAGGTGACCTGATGACTTCGCAAAAATACTGGAAAACCTGTACATGGGGCACTGTTGTATTTGTGAGACAATGATAATTAAAAAATATTAGGGCTTTATTGCACATATCAGGGTTATGAAATGTACTGTGAAAACTGAATATGCGGTTGAGAAAAGAAAAGAAAAAGCCCCACAAATGAAAGTATAACCACTAAATGTGATATACTGGCTACATCAAACAACTCACAATACCCAATTTTGAACACACTTGTCTACTTTAGCAATACTGCTCCAAATGCAGCATAGTTTTAAAAAAAAAATCTATGTATGAAGTATCTATTCTATGTATTGGAGTAAGTGTATTATCTGCCTCCTGAATTTTATATAAAAAAGTTATTTATCCTTCTGTCATCGAGAAATTATACTGATGTGTTAACTCTGTGGAGCCCAAAACAATGTGGACAAAAGGTTGGCATTGTGTTAATTCAATGCATCTCTCTGAGGAGATGCTGATAGGCGCAGTGCAGCATTTTGCAACGCGTGCACAACAGCCTTCCATTGCTTTCCTATAGCAATGGCAAAGATCATCAAATTTGATTATCTCAGCCACGGAGGAGTGGGGGGGCAGCCATAGGGAGACTGGCGTGGCATGGAACAATAGATGAATAAACACAACTAATCATCCACACCAGCACTACAGTGGCAGGAATATATGTTTGTATTTATGAGAAATTTAATTGAACCTAACATGGGAGTTTCCCTTTTATTACGTGACTGACCTTTTTTTAATCTTAGAATTATAGCCATCTGGGCATATTCTTTTATTGTTTTTGTTTTCCAAGTATAGCTGCTTTGCAATAAAAAACCCAGAGGATTAAACTAATTGGATGTATTTGTATGTGTCAGATTTATCAGGAAACATTGCCACGGATAGAACATATAATTTTAAAACAACCAAAATATTGCCTACATTCCTTGTAGTTCTACTGAAGTGTAACAAAATTATATGTGTTTGAACTTTGAAAACATTGCATTATTATTGTCCCTCCTCTCATGGACTGTACCTATTTGCAATGAGCCGTGTTGAAACTGTCCCTGACTGGAACAAAGCAGAAGTGAATGTTGCATTTGTCACAGTACACATCAAACAAGTGTGACTGTTTGCACCTTGCTGCTTTATAACTGGTCACCATGAGCCACCATGTCCAACTGAATATTTGGCACAGGCCTTATTTATTGAACATGCGGGTGAAAGGCAGTTTCACTACATTTCACTACAGCTGGTTATGGAGATATAACTTTATTTTTTTTATTTGACAATTTTTATTGTTTTGTCAGTTTTTGGAACATAAAACATGGGGGAGGGAATTGCAAATCATTTGATTTTAGTACACATGTGTGTGGCCCGCTCTGTCTGTGCCCCCGTACCTCCCTACAGGTTATAGATTATATAATCTATAGAATATTATTATATAATCTATATGCTGTAGGGAGGTACGGGGGCACAGACAGAGCGGGACAATCAGGTGCTGTACCAGGGACAGCAATCTTAAAGGCCAACATAGAACACCCACATGGGTTGCTCTGACTGGACATATAAGGGGGCACACACACACACACACACACACACAAATTTTTGGCTGGGTGACCTCCGGTTTATAGGCGTGCATGAAAAAGTTTATAAAAAAAAAAAAATTTATGATCTGTTTGATACCTGGAAGGCCTTGTTACCTGTTTCTAACACTGGCCTATTCTGCCCCTTAGGTTCTGCTTGCTATCACTATGGATACAACAAACCAAGAACAAAACCTGCAAGCTCTCATTAATGCGGCAGTCGCCGCCTCAGTTGAGAAAGCCCTGGCTCGGGTGCTGCCCTTACAGCCCAAGGAGAAACTCCAGACCGAACCTCTGCACTCAGCAGAGAACTCAGAGGATTCAGACTCCTCTAGGATTGAACAAGCCAGGCCTCACAGACGGTACCGGAAAGGGGACGGACCAGAGCCCCTCAATCGTAAAGGTAAAGTGTCAGCCAAGCGCCAAAGACGTACAGACGCAAAGGAGGAAATCACTGTCCGTCCTACCTTGTGGGAAGAAAAGGAGGACTCCTTTCCTCCGCCTCCTTTGGCAATCTTGGACAAATGGCAAGCAGGTCATTCAGCATCTGACGACGAGACCGACTGGCCAGACGCTACCTTTGGGGAAGTGCCTTTCACCCGAGAGGGAATGACTGAGCCCATATTGGTAGTCTTCATGGATGCGTTAGGGCAACCGCTGTTTGACCCACGACACATTCGACATCCTCGGAGTGGTTCCTACCGGACCATCTTACCCAGTACATCCACTTCTGGATCAGGAGACCCCTGGATCATGAGGTCCGTAAACGTTATGTGACAAAATGCCTTTTGTCACTGGATTTTTATATGACCAACTGCCCTTTGCCCCTGGCTGTTGGAGGAGCCTGATTGCCAGCCTCCTCCCTCATGACTATGGCCCTCTATTCAACAGAGTTTTTGCCATTTAAAAAGACTATTTTGGGCTTATTGGCTTCTAAAAGACTGTTTCTGCCCATTTGAATCCATGGGAAGATGTGTCTCTTCCCCTCCCCCGTTTCCTGTCTATTGTTCCAGCAGGACGTTGTCCCAGGCACACTGCCAGACCAGTTGGAACTTGCCGTTTTGCCCCTCCTCGGTCTCTCATCAGCTCTTGCTGTGTTTTAACCCCACGGTGATTTGACTGTGGTTGTGGTATCTGAGCGCTGTTCGGATACAGTGAGCGCTCAGATCCAAGCTATCTGGGAATAGGTTGAATGTGGGGGTTCTGTTAAGTATAATAGGAATTATGTCTTTTTATGTGTTTTTACTGTTGTTGTGAATAGAGCCATTTTCTGTATGCTGGAGGTAATTGGCTTACCACACCCAAGCCATGCTTGCAGATTGTCACATAGAGACTTTCAACTAACTTTTGACCCACTGGACCAATTTGTATGATTTTGACATATGTTTGCATTTGGAGTATGCTGATTCTGAAAATGTAAGTTTTCATTTATGTGAATGTGATGTATACTTTTAGAGTTATGAATATTGTGTAAAACTGTGTATTTTCCTGCCTGTGATAATTAAGTTAGACCATTGTGTTCGGTAATTATATCACAGGCAGAGGGGAGGATTTTGTGTGGGAGTGTCTGAGTGTATTGTACGTATTGATTGGTTGTTCTGCAAAACCCTGTGGGCAGTACTATGTTTGTAGAATGTGAATAAAAGAGGCTGTATGTGCCAGTACAGTCAGTTCTACTTCACCCTCAATTTGGAGTGCCATCTCTTATTGGGGGAATCTGCTACAAGGGATTGCTATGCTCTGCATACTCTCTTGCTATATTCACTGCTAAGCTCTTGTGAGAGCTTGTTCCTGTCTTGCTCTCTGAAGGAGTCTACGGTGGTTATGGTGTCGGCTGGAGTGCTTGGAGCCCTCAGAAAGCATCCTTCAACGGAGGTACCCAGTCGGGGTGCCCGTCGATCCGTTACAGCTTGAAAGCGGAATGCCCAGATCTGCCCTGCTGGATAAGGTCACGATGATGTGATGCTTTATACTTACTTGCGCATGGATGCAAAACTCTCCGGCCTGGGGTCGAAGGAATAAGGCCCCCGCGCAAAGGGTGTTTTGTTTGAAGAACCTTACATAAAGGAACTCCACAAGCACGTCAACTTATACACCACATTGAACAAAGCGCAATAATCTATTAAGAGAGTGTTCCACCAACACCCCATGCAGGGACAAGGGGACGGACATCCAGCCACTTCTGGCCAGCAGGTCAACCACGATCCCACACTACATGATTTTTCCCAAATTACCAAACAAGGGGCTTCTACAGCCAAAGGTCTGATAGAGGCAGAGGAAGCAGAGCCCGAGGGCGCAACAGATTACTGACAGGTGAGATATTCTCATGACCTTACTACTTTAGGTCATGCGGGTAGGTTATTTCATTGTTTAGACAAGTGGAAGACTGTCTTCAGATACCTGGATTCTAGATACAGTCCAGGGCTATTCAATAGAGCTTTATTCCCCATCCAGACAGGTCACCCCTTTTGCTCGGTCGTGTCGACAGCCCAACAAGCTCAACTCGCCGCAGAGCTTCATTCTCTCCTTGCAAAAGGAGCAGTGCAACTCGTTCAGGACAGCGTGGGTTTCTTCAGCTTCATCTTCCTGGACCGGAAGAAATCAGGATAATCCCACCCATTCATAAATCTACGTCAGCTGATCCATCTTCTTCGATACATCCTACGTCCAGGAAATCGGTTCACCCAAGTCCACTTCAAGGACGCATATCTGTAAGTACCAGTGCACCAAGCCAGCCGACACTTCCTATGGAACGACCAGGCCTACCAATTCACATACCTGCCATTCGGCCTCAGCTCCGTGGTGCTTCACCAAACTGTTGAAACCAGTCAGTCACAGCGCATCTATGCGCCAATGACATCTCCAGACTACAATATCAGATGATCTATACAACCTTATTATTTGAATATTTGGGCTTCGTGGTCAAATCAGGAGAAGTTAGCCCTTTCCCCTTCCCACGTGGTTCATTTCCTGGGCTTCGAGATCGACGCTTCCACCTGTGTCCTCCGACTGCAACAATCAAAGATATCAGCAATCTGGAATGAACTACGCAAAATACAGTGGCAGAAAGATATTCCCCTCCGCAGGTTGGATCGTAGGTGTTACGGCACCCCCAGGCATAAAAGGGGTTAAAAGCCGTTTAGGAGATATTCCCTTCAAGATAGACAGGCAGCTACTGCAGAACACCAATCTCCCAAACTGGAAACACACGAATGCTTCAAACTCCCGAACAGGAACCATACGAATGCTTTAAACTCCTGAATTGGAACCATATGAATACTGCAAACAGGCGAACAGGACAAACCACAAACAGTTTATACTCCTAGCAATCGGTCTGAAACAGCATACAGTAAATCCCCCCACCAAAAAACGAGACAAGGCTCCGTGTTGTGGGTCAAGCTGTGGTCTGATTTAATGGGGCTAACTGCCCGGTATTTATGCAGGTCTTCCACCTGTTGGACACTCCCCTAGAGGACAAGATGGAAGACTGAGACACAAATGGTAAAATGACCAATCACAGGCATACAGGGTTAAAACACTCCCACAGTACATTACAATCCCTCCCCTCTATCCTGGAGATAATTGGGAAGTAATCCAATTATCTCCAAGGACAGAGGCAAAACTCCATTAACCACATGGCAGTAAAAAGACATAAAAATATATAACTGTGCAGCCATTGCATAAAACAGGTACATTCAACCTATCCCCAGATAGCTTAGATCTGAGCGCACATTATTACCAAATGGTGCTCAGATCACATACATACAGTTCAATTGCCATGGAGCCAAAGTCTTTCACATAGTCTTTCGGTATACGAATAGGCTCCATGGCATAGCTATCTGGGTAACACTTCACACATTAAAATACCGAATGGACCGGCGTTCGGCTAAACGACTGAAGGCAGGAGAAGGGAGGTCGGCGGCTCAGCGGTGTTCGTGCGTTTAACTGTCCATTTCGAGTTCTACAGGTTTGGAGCTGAACACCGCTGGCCATTCGAACTATACGAACAGCGGCCACCCATCGTTCATCCATTAAGCTGCGGTTAACCACAGCTTCTGGGAGGTAAGTCACTGGCACACTCCTTACCCAGGTGGTCCATTCATTCATGAGTTGGTTCGGTAGATTCAATCTACCGAACACCCAGGCAGCAGGCACGAACAAGCCTTTCTGCAGGGGAAAATACAAGCTTTTAACATGGGGCCATAGTCCAGAGGCAGCAGGCGAGCAACCAGGCTTCTCCAGAGCATAGTGGCGAGGTTGGTTCCGCCACAGTAGGCCTCCTAGCGGATTCCATCCAGGTGATCTACCCAGGACCTCTTCATTATCGGGCCATGCAATTCCTCTGGGTCCACCCATCCTACGACCAGAGGGTCCCACTCACCACGGAGGTAAAGGAGGAACTTTGATGCTGGCTCCTCCACATGTCCACGTGGAACGGCAAGGCAATTTTCAGCCCCACTCTGAACTTCATTGTAGAATCGGACGCGAGCCTTCGGGGATGGGCTGCAACATACCCGACGGCAAACACAGCAGTCCTTGGACTTCAGAGAATTAATTTCATATCAATTGTCTAGAATTGATCGCAGGCTCCTTCGCAATGCGCAGCTTGGCCAACCATCTCTCAGACTGTTGCATCCTCTTGTGGATGGACAATGCATAAGCCGTCCAGTACATCAACCGCCTGGGCGGGGCCAGATCGCGTATCCTACATCTACAGCTTCTGTTTTCAGAGCAACATCATGCTACAGGCGGAATATCTTCCCGGGGAGACGAACGTTACAACTGATTGGTTCTCCAGACATTGGAGGGACTTCAGCGACTGGCAACTCCACAGATCGATTTTTCTTCACATCTCCAGACTTAGTGGTCCGTTTGTAGTGGACCTGTTAGCATCGGGGACAAACTATACGTA